TATAATATATTTTTAAAATATAAATATAAATGGTATTTTGAAAATATAGCTTTTAATAATAGATCTGTAAATAATGTGTAAATATATAATTTTATAATCTAAAAGTAAAGTCCCCCAGTAATAACCTTGCATATTTTTGATTGAAGAAAGGCTTTTATTAGATTAACTTAATAGACCTCTTAATAATAGACCTCGGTTAATCTTGATAGATTAACGGAAGAGTTCTCCCATGGTGGGGTGTATATATTTTTTTGCTTTTCAACTAACGACTAGAGACACCAAAAAAAAAAAAGGTCCTCAATATTTCCAATATGTCAACTATAGTTCAAAACTTGCTCAATGTGCTAATTCAAATGCTTGTAAGATAGCTTTAAGGGGAGGGGATGAGAAACACCCCAACAACCCCCCTCATCCTTCGGGACGGCCCTGGGGAGGGGGTTAAAGATTTTTTCCAAAAAATCAGATGTACCCAAATAATTTCCTGGGTCCGCCCCTGATATATATACATATATATATATATATATATATATATATATATATATATATATATATATATTGATCTAGATACATAAAATTTTATTTAAAATACACCTTTAGTACTAAAATTAACTTATTTAAGTGATTTTTATGCTTCCGAAAGTTACGGTTTTTCTCATTGTCGCATCATAAAAAAGCATCGTTGTAAAATGTTATTTTAACCACAAATTTATTTGCATAATCAGAATTAATTTAGCGTAAAAATGGAGCTAACATGTTCATATTGTTGTTGGTCAGATTTTATACTTTATAAAATATATATATTTTAAGAAAATAACGAAAGAACTTTTACAATTTTCATGTAACGTAGTTTTGTTTTCTAAAATTTAGTTAAAAAACTATTGTTTTCTAAAATTTAGTTAAAAAACTTAAATTTTTTTAATAATATATGCGAAAGAATAATAAATGATACGTTTTTACATATAAAGTTTTGAATATGGATGCTTAGTTAAAGCACATTTTTATTTTAAATTTGAATAACATAAGTTAAAACTACAACCACCAAAGTTCTGGCACTTTTTCGTTAACAAAATAAATTACGTCATTAAGAAATTCTTATTTTGTTGTATTGGTTTGACAAGGTTCTAACTGAAAATTTTTATATTAGAAGAACTTAGAAAATATATATATTTTTAATGTTAATCAAAATTACTTATAATATTGTTTTTTTATTTGTTTATGTATTCTTTTTTTGGCTGACATGAAAAAATAGAATTAAGAATTATATAAATATTTTTATTTAGACATTAACAAAAATAAAAAGATTTATTTGATATATTCTCCTAATTTAAAAAAAAATCAGTTAGAACCTTTTTTCTTTTTGTTTTAGTAAAATAAATCATTTGTAAATACAATTAAAGAGGTTTATTCATAAAGCACGTCCCCCTTTATTTGTCAATTCTTAAACTCTTCTCTCCTGTCACAAACAATCATATATACCTGAAATCCTCTCCCTCCTAAACTGCGATAACAGTTTTTGCGCCAAAAATATTTTTAAAAATTTAAATGTAAATACTTTGCAGCATTTTAAAAATTCAACCTCATGAAAATAAGGCAATACGACAAACGTAAAATATAAAAACGTATATATGTACTACAAATTTACTTGAAACTCAAGATTATATTACAAGAAATGTGGATCAATGAGTTCCTGTGGATGAAGTTTTAGTTGACTTTAAAAAAGCATTTGATACTGTACCACATCAAAGGCTTATCTTAAAACTTGAAGAGTATGGTGTTAGTGGCTTGGCACTTTGGTACATTGGTTTCAAGCTTTCTTATCTAATAGATGGCAGAGAGTTATTATGAGAGGTTGTCTCAACTTGGGCTGATGTGTATAGTGGAATTCCTCAAGGACCTGTATTGGGTCCACTACTTTTTATACTTTATTTAAATGATCTTCCTGAATCTCTCAAAAATACTTCAAAATTATATGCTGATGACACAAAAATCATTTCAATTAGTCCTTCTGATCAGCTGCATAATAAATTACAATGTGATTTAAACTTTGTGTATGCTTGGACACAAGATTGGTTGCCTAACTTTAATATTGACAAATGTTTAGTTATGTATTATGGCTATAAAAATAAGAGATACCCAATTTATATAAATGGTTGTAAACTCAACATTTCAGATTCAGAAAGGGACCTAGGAGTGATTTTTTCAGATAACTTGAATTGGATAAATCAAGTCTTATTGAGTGCAAGCAAACCGCATGTTAAGTATAATAAAAAAATCTTTTTGTTCAATTTGATGCAGAACTGCTAAAATCTCTATATCATTCCTTTGTTCGACCACTCCTAGAGTTTACTGTACCAGTTTGGGCTCCTTATCAAAAACAAGATATTGTGATTTTGGAAAGAATACAGTCTCATGCCACTAAATTGGTACCTTCAATCAATAAATTATGCTATGAAGATCAACTAGCTTGTTTTAGAATGTCCTCACTAGTTAAAAGAAGACAACGTGGTGACAATTAATTTATTTAAATTTTTAAAGGTTATGATAAAGTTGAATTTAAAGAAAATAAGTCCTTCAAATCTATTTGTACTCGTGGCTATAACCTAAAGTATTCTAAAGAATTTTCTGTACATAATTATAAAGAAAATATTTTACTAAACCGAGCTACAAATTATTGGAATGCACTGCCAGAAAATGTTGTTATAGTTAGTTCAGTAAACTCATTTAAAGCAAGACTTGATCGATGGGAGTCAAACCATCACAAGACTCAGCTGTCATAGTGTGCTTTAAAACCACACTCACTGGTAGCAATACCAGTCACAGCATAAACTAAAACTAATACTAATACTAAATGACTCAAATAAGTATTAATGAAGTTGTTATACTAAAATAATTTTTTAAAGTTACTCTTGGTTTTGCACAAAAACTGTTTTCGATTTGATAACTTACATGAATGTTATGAAAAAATCACTCAGGAAGAGTGCCACCAGTTTTTTAAAATTTCTTTTGTTATTTATTACTAATGAATTTATTCAATTCTTTTGTTACGTAACTCAAACTCTTAATATAAAAATTCACAATAACAATCGCTCAGTAACGAATTTAAGTTAAATATATAGTATCAAAAAAACCAGTTTATTTCCCTTAGCCGGTCACTTCTGATAAATTTTTTTATATTTTTAAATTGGAATAGAATTCTCAACATCTCGTGAAGGTTTATATATCAAACCGCGTTACTGATTTGCAGAAATCTGACCTAAAAGTTGAAGCAACTTTTTTACTTTACACAGTGGGTGACAAAAGTACGAAAAAAAAGTTTAATGGAATGATGCGAAACAGTAATATTAATTATCCACTACATAATAGCATAGGAAATTAGTACTTTTTTTTATCCATTACATAATTATCCACTACATAATAGCATAGGAAATTAGTACTCTTTTTATCCATTACATAATTATCCACTACATAATAGTTTATATAATACTACATAATACTTTATCCACTACATAATACTTAATCCAATACATAATTATTCACTACATAATAGCATAGGAAATTAGTACTTTTATTGTAATATAAAGGCTTTTGAACAATATATATTATATTTATTTGAAAAGATTTTAGAGTATTAAAAATTTTATAAAACTTTAAATCACCATTGACAATTTTGATAAGCAACAATTTCAAATGTTATTTATATTATTGCGAAATATATTTTATAATTTTTTTCTAATCAGCATATTAGTTTTCGATTTCTGCAATTTAAAATTGTTTAGTAATAAAAGTAACTTAGAATTGTATTATTTTTTTAAATTGTGGTGCATATACATTTCTTTTATATTGACTTTCTTGTATAAATTAATTAAAAAACTCTTTTAGAATATAAAAAAATGTTGATGGTTGATACCAATAAATAAACTATTTTAAAATGTAGTGTAGGGCTAAGATTAAACTTATATATTTACAATAATTATTACAACAAAGTAAATGTTATTGTTGGTATGCATATTTGGTATCTAAAGCAACAAAATAATTCATAAAAACAATACCTTTACAAATCACATCATCCATTTAATATGTATACCAAAATTTGTTATAATACTGTTAATGGTTTAAAACAATAATAATTTTGTCTCAAATTGACTTTTTTATTACCAAGAAACCAGGTTGCTATGCAAATGAGGCTTCCATAGCAACCAAACAACAAAAACATTACCTTTCTAAAAGGCACAGACCTCAAAAATTAGTACACAAGTCAAGTTTGGTGAACATATGACTAATAGGTAAAAAGTTATAAATAGTGTCTAAAAAACTGTTATTGTGACCCCACTGTGCCTTGTTTTCTGTGTAACATAAGTTAAATGGCATTTCCAGTAATAAGTTTGCCCTTTTTGGCAAGACTCAAAACTTTTTAGCTTATTTTGTATTATAAAATTATATATATATATATATATATATATATATATATATATATATATATATATATATATATATATATATATATATATATATATATATATATATATATATATATATAATAAAGAGAGAGAAAAGAAAAAAACCATTAATTTAATGGTGAATTTCTTGAAAAAAACTAAACTTAAGCTAAATTTTGAAATATGAAAATTTGTATGCAATAAATAAACATTGATTTACTTTCTTTCAGCTAAAATACTAACAACGAAATATATATATATATATATATATATATATATATATATATATATATATATATATATATATATATATATATATATATATATATATATATATATATATATATATATATATATATATATATATATATATATATATATATATATATATATATATATATATATATATATATATATATAAAAGAAAAAACCCATTTCAATTCACCCAATTCAAGAAAAAATACAAAAACTTAAAAACCAACTTTAAACAAGAATAAGGTGTATATATAACAGAATGAAAATTTGTATGAAAATAGAATTTTCTCAATTAAAACACCAACAAACCTTGACATTCATTATACTCTGTAATTTTAAAAAATTGTGGATCACAGAAACAATTATATGATCCAATGGTATTAGTACAATTTTCATTAGGAGCACAAGGATTTTGAAGACATTCATCAAGATCTACCAAAAAATAGTAAAAAATTTGAATTTTTTTAAATAATAAAAAAATAAAAAAATGCAACATTAAAAATCGTGAACATATTGATGTAAATAGACTAAATAATTTACTAATATATAATATTTACCAATAATAAGATTACCATTTTTTTAAAAATTAATAACTATAACTATATTATTATTATTTAAAATGAATAAAAAAAGTTAAAAACAAATTGTTTTATTTTTAATATAACCTAAGCATTCATTATGAAGTGCTGTTTTTAATGCAATAAACATTCTTTTCTAAAAGGCTATACAGAAAAATAAATAAATTACCGTTACATCCAGTGCCATCTACAGGTCCCTTTGCAGATAAATACTGAGTACCTAACATATAACCATTTCCAGTATAGCCTTGTGGACATGTACATGTAAAACAACCAACTTCATTAAAACATGTTGCATTTACAGAGATACTATTGTAACATCCTTTAGTAATACATTCATTTTCATCTAGTAGTAAAAATACAAAGATAATATATGTTATACCTAATTATTATGCAAATATTTATAATTACAAAAAAAAAATTATATAACATAACATAGTTTGACGTATATTTCATTATTTAAACATATTTATGCTAAAAGTAGATAAGATATGTGAAAGTAAAAGTATAAGATAAATATAAAATTTATGGCGAAAAGCAGAACAAATCTGTTTATTTAACACAAACTTGTCAGCTTCAAAATAAGAAACATTTAATTAAAACTAAGATAAATATACAAATTTAGACAGATGTCTAGAAAGAAATCAAGATTTCAAAGGTGAGTGTATTGATTATATTGCTATTATAAATGATAAAATATTTTCTATATGCAGCCTAATATTGAACTCTGGAAAATCAGTAGCAGGTCAAAATTTTAAATTTTCCAAAAGATTAAAACCGTATCTATATGCTATTCTAATACAAGTGCTCACTTATTATCTATCAAAGAACATTGAACTCTTTATGCCAAGTACATTAGTTCAAATTACTATGTTCAAAAAAAAGACTAGGTGGGACTAAATGTACATATATCCACTGAAGAGTTAGTGTAGAGAAAGTGCATCTACTGAAGTGTTAGCATGTGAAAAAATGCATTCACTGAAGAGTTAGTGTGTAAAGAAAGTGCAAGATGAGTAGGGTATATTACAAAAAAAAAAAAAAAAAAAATCAGAACTGTCACATTTTATAAAGATAATTTTGCCTATTTACTAATCTACTAATACATTATTTACTTATTTTTTTAACCTTGTTAAAAGAATATATTCTCATAATTTAACCTTAAAGAAAGAATTTGTAACAACAATTTCTGAAAATAACTGAATTGTCTCATTCCACTGTTATGGCCCTCTGTATTTACCTAACAGAGGTAAATACAGAGGGTCACATTACCTTCCTAATGTCAATTTGGAGGTTAATACATTAAAAAAACAAAAAAAAAAACAAAAAAAAAACAGCCTCTATTTTATCATGTAGTGTCATAATTTTACAATAAATTTGCTCAAGTAAAAGAGTTTTGAATTTTAACAATTTGAACATTTAAATTATATACTGTTGATATTTTCAAATTATTTTGTCTAAAAAAAAGTGCCATTTTATAAATGTTTTTTATAACATTTGTCATAATACTCTTGTTTAATGTTTTTAAAATAAGTGTTATAGAATCAATAGTTAAAATAATTGAGGAGTTGCCAATCAACCAATATACATCTTTTAATTTTTTTTTTGAAAATTGTTTAAAAGTAGTATAAAGTAAACATTTCAAAGAACATTAATGTCGTTGATGTCAAATCTAACATATAAACTAAACATTTCAAAGAACATTAATGTCGTTGATGTCAAATCTAACATATAAACTAAACATTTCAAACAACATTTATGTCATTGATGTCAAATTAAACATATAAAGTGAAGAAATAAAAGTATAACAAGTTATAAATAAATGCCTTATTTATAACTTGAAAAGAAAAACTAAAAAAACACTATAACTATTTATTAGTTATAAAACAACAAAAATTATCAACATCACATTAATTATAAACAATTTAGTATACAAGCAAAAACAAAATAATTAAATATGATTATATGGATAAAATTTTACCTATACAAGAATAACTAGACACATTTGCTTTTGCAACATAGCCTGGATTGCAGTTGCAACTAAAAGCTCCATCAAGATTAATGCAATTTCCATTATCCAGATCACAATCTGATTTACCCAAATAGCATTCGTCAACATCTATGAAAGAAGATATTTATCTAAATTTAAATTGATCTAAAAATGATATAACAAATACATTATATGTAATACTTTAAATACTCAAAAAGAATCTTATAAAAAAAGGGTAGATAAGACCACATCTCAGATCTCAAGTATTTATTATGGGCATTTTTATTCAACTGTATGAAATACCTAAAATGTTCATTCAAAATACTCCAGCTTACTGTGTTCTATCAGAAAAAGAACTTTTCTATTTTAATAGCACAAAACTTTTTTCATCACTTAAACACTTGTACAGCTTGTGGTCTGGGCAATATTTATGTCACAGTCTTACAAAAGTGTTCTCCAGAACTCTTTTCACTGCTCTCTAAAATATATAGCAAGTGCTTTACTGGATTTTGTTTTCCTGTTTGTTGAAAAATGACTTTGTTTTCAATTTTTGAAAACTTTGGAGATCGCTCTGGCCCCTTGAACCAATCAGTATTCTCACTATTATTTGAACCAATCAGTATTCACACTGTTATTTAAGCCAATCAGTATTTTCACTATTATTTGAACCAAGCATTATTCTCACTATTATTTAAACCAATCAGTGTTTTCACTATTATCAGCAAGATCTTTATATCTTTGAACAAACTTCTTACAACAACGAGACAAGGGCTCAAGATTAAGCAGCTAGAGATTAAGCAGCTAGATCCAACCTAATACTTTTCTAGATCTTATCTAGGAGAGGAAAAACAGAAGAACCAACAAATTTCATACCAAAATGTATTAGAGATTTAAAAAATCAGGCAAATGCAAAACATGATAAAGTGAATTAACAACTGTAGAACAAAAAAACCAGCTACAGAACAAGATTATAAAAAGCCATACAGATTGTCAGTAAGTTGTTAGACTCAAGATAAGATATTAAAAGCTGATTGGCTAAAATTATTAGAAGCTAACCAAGATAAGAAGCTGATTGGCTAGAAGCTAATGGGCTAAACATATAAAGACTTTGCTATTATTAGAAAGAAGATTGATTGGGCAATAGTTGGAGAAGTTTTATTGTTTTCTAGAGTTTCAAAGATTGGAAACACAGAGGTCATTTTCAAGTAGGCAAGAAAACAAGAATTAGGTTAACACTTGTTAAATAGTTCAGTGAAAATTGAAGAAAGTTGGAGAACATATTTATAAGATTAAAAAAAATATATTTTTAAGTCAGAGAACATATTTTTAAGAAAAAATGTCCAATAATGTCTAACAATCAACCACCTGTTTCTTTGGGAGGACAAGAATAGTCATTACATTCAAAAGATGAATTAGAGGAACAAACAGCTCTGTTTTATCATTAGGAGAGGTAATAAGATCTCATAAGATGGAATATTAGCCTTTGTTGACAACACTGTTTAAGTTTTTTCAAAAGTCAATAGAACCTCATTTCTGAGATAAAACAGAAGATCAAGGTTTATGTTTTTTTTTGTGTGTTTTTATTAAAGTAACTACTTTACATATAATTATTTATATTTATATTATATTATATAGCAGTTCCTTACTACAACCATAATGAAAAACTTAACTATATTATAAAAACTTATATATATATATAATATATATATATATACAGTGCATGTGATGAATAAAATCCTAATGAAAAAAATTAAAACAATAAATACTGAAACACATTATTAAATCATAATGTAATACTGAAACATGTAATTAACAAGCGCAATGATGCGCTAGGCATCAAGTCTTCGAGAGCGATATTCAGAGTTGGAAATTAGTTGCCATGGGACCATCCATAAATTACACACGCAAGTATGGAGAGGGAGTCACTCAAAAGCGTACCAGTGCGTACAAGGAAGAGGGTGGACAATTTTTTGCTTGCATTTTTTTCATCTGAAGTCTGGGAAATCAGACAAAAAAGCTTTGGTTTTTTAGTTAATGCATTTGTCTATCTGCCTTTAAAATGTGTTATTGCAGTGTTGATATTAAATAAAAACAATCAAATATTGCCATTTACTAAATATTGAATATATAACTTTGTTTCTCATTGGAGTTCAATTAACATGCTTGATTGCGGACATTCTTAATAACAGAAACATTTTTAATTTAATTTAAAATGAATAATAGTTAAAATTAATAAAAAAAAATTAATAATATTTCTTTAATTCACAAAAAGTATATGAAAAAATGAATGAAAAATTAAAAACAATAAAGCAAAAGAAATGTTTTTATAAAATTTTGTAGATTAAAACTTTTTGTTTTTCAAAATACAAAAAAGTTTTAATTTTTTAATTTAAATTTCTTATTCTCATTGGGACGAAACATTTTAAATATAGTAAACATTCCATTCTATTTGTTAGCATTAATGTCTTCATAACTTTTTATTCATTGTTTGTACAAAACAGAAAACTGCATTCTAATTTATACTGAATGTGCCATTTAATTAATATCAATTAAATAATAGTTTATATACTTGATTATATACTTAATAATATATAATAGACTTTTACTAATATAATATATATTAGTAAGAAAATATATACTTATACAAATAAAATATATAAATATCTTATATACTGATGAATATTTTGAGAAATAAGTTTGTGAAACCCGTGAGGTTAAATTTTTTCTTTTGTTGTATGTGAGCATGCTTCAAAAAGTTTCAATTCAAAATTATATAACAAAAATATTTGTTTATGTATTATTTATTGAAATTTTTTATTCATTATTTTTAGTTGCGTTTAGCATTAACTTTTTCAATATATAGACTTTAATATGAGCTTAACAAATTGGAAGATATCAGTGAAAAAATTTAGTTTATTAACTTATATTTGACAAAAAATATTTGATATTCCAATGTCTTTATGTTACGTCTTTATGAATTTTAAGTATAATAGTCATTAATTAAAAGAATGTGATCGAAACTGTACAAAATTGAAGGTGAAGTTTTAGTTTGATAAACTTTTTACACTAGACATTAATTTATAAGATATTTATAAATATTACTCTAGATATTTATAAATATTATGCTAGAAATTTAATTTTTTAACATTTAAGTTTGGAATTTTTATTGAAATGGCGCATTTCATTGAAGTTTTGATACTTTATTACATGGACTTTTAAGTTAAGGGAAGTTTTATGTCAAAGAATCCTAAAAAACTATTCAAGTTAGCAAATGGTTCGACTTAACCAGGGTATGATTAAGCGAATAATATGATAAAGTTCAACTGGAATTTAAAAAACAAAAATATGCTGGATTTAGCTTTCTTAATAGAAGAAATAAATCTTTTTTAATTAGAACTTATATTACATAAATTAAAACTGAAGTACGCCACACACAAACTATGTGTGACGTACTTTATTACGAATATAACGCCTTTATTTAACAATATGCTAACTCTACTGTTTAAACATTTTGACTTCAGCAAAAAAAGTTAAATAAAAATAATTTCTATAAAATCAACTTTTAACAATAATTTTCTCCCTCTCAAGTTCTTCAGACAAGCGCGATTATATACTCTCATAATAATAACAGCAAGCGCTGTTTGTTATACCCAGAAGATCGTTTACGGGCATGTTTCATGTGAGTGGAGTAATTGCTCCCGCTTCATTACAAGGCCTATATATATATATATATATATATATATATATATATATATATATATATATATATATATATATATATATATATATATATATATATATATATATATATATATATATATATATATATATGTATATATATATCAGGCCTTCTCGTAAGAAGTGTACGATTGCACGCCTTATATGACCACGCATAAAGTTCTTTGTTTTAACAACTTGACCACGGCTTTTTGCAAGTTTTGATAATTACCGCGTTTAAAAAATGCGCTAAAAAAAAACAATTGCGATTTTTAATTTAATTGATTCCATAATTACAATTAAACTACCACAAATTTTCCTGAGTACTTTAATGCAACAAAAAATATTCAGATTAGAGTTTAAGGCAAAATGAGTACAGAAGCTATCAAAAAATAATTACAAACCATTTTATCATGGAAATATAATTTCTAATTAAGAAATTATTTACTAAAAAAAAGGAATTACAATAATCTTGAAACAATCGTATCTGCCAACTATTTTTTATCCCAAAGTGTGACATCATTTTTTTTTAAATGAATGTTGACTTGCATATCTTTATTTATTGACGAACGTTTAATTTAAGAGATTTATGTCAAATAAAATTCAAATAAATTTTATTCTAGTTAATAAGTTATTAAATATATCAAAGATGCTTGGTAAATTTATTCAATTTTTATTTTTCAAAAACCGTTTTTTTTTACACATTTACAAAGTGCGCGTAAATTAATGATAAATGCGCAATAAAAAAACTTTTAAAAGTGCAAAAGTTTTAACATGCAAACAAATATTATTTCACTTTAAAAAAGCATGTTAAATTTTATTTATAATGAATACATTTGCTTTAAACTTTTAATGTAATTGCTAAAAACATAAAAGAAACCATCATTAAACGTTATGATTGCTTTTCTCAATAAAAGAAAGCAATCAAAATGTTTGAGCATGGTTTGTTTTGAAGTTTTTGCAAAAGCATTCATTTTAAGTAAAATTATGTATGCATTTGTAAGCGCATGCAAAAATTATGCTAAAACATATTTACTTTTTTTATAGTGTATTTAGTTATTTTACTTAAAAGTAACGCTATTGAAAAAAGTACTTATGTTATGGCATTAATTTAAGTCTATGAAATTAATTGTTTTTATATTAAATATGTGTTTGTTATAATAAATAAAAAACTAATGATCGCAAAATTATTTTGAAAAAATTGCTGAAGTGATACGTTCGGTTTGAAAAATCCTAATCAATGGCATAAGCAAAATTAAAGAAACGTGATGTTTGTTTTTCTGTCTGTCTTTTAAGAAATGCGCGCATATTTGTCGATTTGTTGCACCCTGTATCCTATTAATTTTTTAATAAAATTTTAAACTTGCACCACAAAATTTTATTAAATTTCATGGCACTTTTAAACAGCCTAAGTTATGTTTTTAAACATAAATTTCTAAAAAAAAAATAAAAAATCTGATGTGAGGGGGGGGGGGATGGACCCTTTTCCTCACAATGGATTCGCCCTTGTATTAGCATAATTATTCATGGGAAGGAATGATAAAGATTATTAGAGCTGTGATAATTTTTTTTTTACTTTCGTTTACAATCAAATTCACACTAATTAAACTTTTTTTTTATTTATCCTTTATTTATTTTATCATTCATTAAATATTTTATTTTTTAATTTTTGTATTATATATTATTTTAAGGATTTTATTCTCTTTTTAGTTTATGGATTGTTAATTGTAATTTTAATTTGCTTTGTTTTTTATAGTGCAATTTTTAAACGCGCTAATTATCAAAACTTGCAAAGAGTCAAGTTGTTAAAACAAAGAACTTTATGTGTGGTCATATAAGGCATGCGATTGCACGCCTCTTACGAGAAGGCGTGCAATCGCATGCCTTATATATATATACAGGCATGGTCAGGAAGGTGTGCGATTTCACGTCATAATATGACCACGCAAATACTATTTGATTTTACTCAACTTGACCACGGCTGTTAATGTTTTGAAAACTTGTATATGTTTTAAAAACGCACCAAAAAAATTATATTAACTATAGAAAAACTTAAAAAAAAAAACTTATCATAACAGAAGCAAATAAATCTTGGTAAAAAAACAAAAAACAAAAAAAAAAAAAAAAACTCAACTAAAACAGCAGAAATAAAATTAAAACTTAACTAAATTAAATAATAAACAATAACGATAAGATTATCTAAATTACGTTTGGAATAAATAACTTTAAATCTTTTATCTTTTTTAATATAATTATGCTAAACTAAAGAAAAAAAAATTAAATTCTTTATTTAAAATTTTGATTTAACTTTTTTTATTTAAAAACATTTATAATAAAAAATAAATACTTTTAAAAAAATATATATGTTTTTATAAAAAATCATTAGTGACTTGTTACTTTATTTAAATTCAATAAAATAAAAACGTAAGTAAAGATCGAAGTTAGTTAACTCAAACAGTTTTCAAAAAAGTTTTTTTTTTCTTCTCAAAAAAAACTTCAAAGATTCTTGTATGAAGTTTATTAGAGACCTTTGCTTATTAAAGTCTAAAATAAAATAAAAAAATTATTTTAATAACTTTTACTTTTTTTATTTTTACCTATAAATAAATCTTATATAATTAAATAATATAAATAAAGAACTATACAACTTTCAATTATAATTATAATCTTTATTTAAAAGCGCTTTGCTAATATAAAAACATTAGTAAAGATAAACGCGTCAAATTTATTTATTTTTAACGTAACCATTCTTTTAGCATTTGTTAAAAGCCGTGGTTAAATCATCATAGCAAAATATTATTTGCGTGGTCATATAAAGACTTGAAATCGCACGCCTTCCTGACCAAGCCTGTATATATATATATATATATATATATATATATATATATATATATATATATATATATATATATATATATATATACGCATACATTCATATATATACATTTTGGTTTATTCAAAACATAAGAAAACTAAAATCTAAAAGAACTTTGACAGCTTCTATATTTCTATGTTTAAGATATAAAATGATCATACCAACACAAGCGCAGCTTCCATTTTGGAATGTTTGCAGCTTATAACCAGGATCAGTACAAATACAAGAGTAACTTCCAGGTGTGTTTCTGCAAAAACAGCTGGGGCCCAAACAAAGAATTTTAGAACACTCATTGATATCTTAAAAAGATATTTTCAAACAGAATTGATATCTTCAAAAAATTGAATATCTTAAAAAAATATTATCAAGCATAGATATCTTTAAAAAACATTATCAATTAGAACAAACCACACCAAACAGAATAAACAACTCAAAACAAAACAAAAAATTAAAAAATAAACAAAAAAAAAATCAAAATTCATAAATTAATTCTTAAACTTTTGAAAAACAAATAAAGCATTTAATATTAATATTTCAATACCTACACATTGATCAGAAAGTGTTTCAACTCCGCTGCTACTTGTAATATATCCACTCTTACAAGTACAATTAAATCCTCCACCAAAATTGTTACATATAGAATTAACAGAGCAGTTGTTCTGATTCATGCTACACTCATCGAGATCTATAAACAATCGAGGATTACATTTTGGTTCTTTTTGATTCTGTAAAATTTTGGAATGATACAAAGAGAATAAAATAAAAATGACCAGAATTTTTAAAACTAACCTCGACAAGTATAAAAATCTTCAGGCCGGGGAGAAAGATAACCATCAGGACAAACACATTGAAAACTACCAATAGTATTTATGCATGTAGTAAAATTAAGAGTAATAGGTAATAGACGATCACATGGGTTGTTAAAAATAGTCACACCATTAGGAACACACTCATTAACATCTATGAAGTCAGGAGAAATTTACAGATCACAGTTACAAGTGCTAATATAATATAATAATAAGCAATATTTATAAAATTATAATAAGCATTATTAATAAAATTTGAAATTCATCTTTGAAATTCTCTTCACTAAAAAAATAGTAATCTATAATTTAAAAAAGTAAATATAATTCTAAAATAATTGCAAAAAATGTTTTATGTTTTAAAGTTTTAAATCTTCAAAAGTAAAGATAACAAAATTGCATTAGCAACACACACACACACACACACACACACACACACACACACATTATATAACAAACTATAATAATCACACCTAAATTTCAATTTTTACAATATCTTTTTTTAAAAAACTATGCTAGCTTTAATTATGTTAATATAATTATTAAAACTTTTAAAATTAATTTTAAAACAATTGCAAACAATTTTTTCGTTGTTTTTAATTTTAAACTCTTCAACTGTAAAAATAATAAAAAATTAAATTTTTTATTATCTTTAAAATAGCAAAAAAAAAATTTTGAATCAAAACTTTACCTTCACACGCTCCAGTTATAGGATTGGTTTGATTTCCACCACCACATTGACATTTGTATGAACCAATAGTATTAACACAAACAGTTTGAGTTGGGCATAGTGATGCTCTTTGTGCACACTCATTTACATCTACAATAAACATTAAGTTGAAAATTTGTAATACTTATTAAGATGCAAAGATAGAAACATCATTATTTATACACAGAAGTACTATTACCATAGCATGTCCTCCTTTTGTCGCTTACTGCATAATCACCAACAAAACCATTTTTACAAATACATTCATATGAACCAGGAGTGTTAACGCATTCAGAATTTTCAGCACAGATGGAAGGATCCTCACATTCATTTATGTCTATAATATATACTGCAAAATCACTACATGTCACAGTGAGCTAAAAGTTTGCAAAAAGTATAAAAAACCAAAAATAAGATATACATGTTTGTTTTTTGTTTTTGTTTTTTTTACTTTTAACTATATACTCAACAAATTGAAAAAACATTTTAAATATTTCAAAATTACTAGCCCTACAAAACCCTTAAAAAATTTTGAGAGTTTTTTATACTATTTTAAAAATATTTTTAGAAGCATTTTAAAATGCTCTTATAAAGAAAAATATTTTATTATACAAGGAAAAAAATGCTTTTTTATTAATTTTTTTTTTTTTTTTAGAATTCTTATTCTTAAGTCTAAAGGTGTTGCAGAGTTTTTTTGCATTTTTAAAAACATTAGTGGAACACTGTGCATTTTAATTTGTTGACTACTTTATTTAAGTGAAATTAAGAATTAGTGGAATATTAAATTGTTTTTTTAAATAAATAAAATATTAACTAGACAGCAAAACATTACCTTGACATTGTCTTGGAAACTGCAATGTAGTTAATATGGCTGTACTCATATTGCCATTTACCCATGTATTAGGAAGTGCATAGTAGCCAGGGTTGCACTGACATTCATAAGTGGTTGATACTGAACTACAATTTACAATTGAATTTGCAACATTTGAACATAGACTTGTTTGACAGTCTAAAAAATTTAAAAAAATATTTAATATAAATACCAATACAATTATTGTATAACATACAAATTTAATGTAAAACTATTGATGAAAACTACTTATAATAAGTCTTATTTATAAAGAACAATACAAGACAGTTAAAAGAAAAAATTATTATTACTGCTCTGTTCTTTAACAATATTGAACAACTTTTTTGTAAACTCATTTTATTATACTAAATTTCAAATACTATACTCAAATACAAATTTAAGATATCATCTTAAATTTGTATTTGAGTTTTATCTTTAAAAGATAAAATTTATTAAATCATTATGCAAAACTATTACCTGAATAAGTACCAGAAATAAACCATATGCAAACTAACCAAATAATTCTTTTGTAATACACCTATCAAATCAAAAATTATAACACAATTATAAGAGTCATAGAAAAAAAAAATAAAGTAGGATTTCTTCGTTTATAAATAACTGTTCTATTTTTTAAATATATATATATATATATATATATATATATATATATATATATATATATATATATATATATATATATATACACCCTACCATCCATAATTTTTCGAATGGTCGTACTTTTCGAAATAAGATAACATAGTTTTACTTAATATTGGGAGAAACTGCAAGCAAAGTCTACCTGAATTTTATGTTATCTTCCTTTTTATTAGTTTTACCAAAAAATTAAATTTCAAGTCCGATTAGATTAATTTATAGTTTACTTGCCTTTTAATCACCCTTGGCGACAATGGGCCAATTGGGGCGCCTCACAGTGGGCCAGTAGGTGAACAAAATGGAAAAAAAACTTTGTTGTCTAATTTTGAAAACTTATTTAATTTTAGAATCTACATATATTAGGTAAAATTTATTGATAATTTATTTATATTAAATCCCTTATTTACCAGGACTCTAAACATTTGAATATTAAAATAAAAAAAATAAAAAAATTAAATAAGTAATTTACCGTGACATTAACGCTGTGTTATATTTCAATTAGATCTAAGTTTTTGAAACAAATAATTAGTACATGTTATGCTTAAGTATTTAGAGATAAGAAAAACCAATGTGTGAAATAAATATGTCATAGCATGTTATCTCAGTTATACTTTGAAAATTAAAGATTAAAAAAAAAATCATGAAGAAATTTTTTTGCTGCACTATAACTAAAAATTACCATAATTTGCCATGTGCATAAATTTCAATATATCTTCAGTAATATTTTGTTTTGAAATACTAAGATACAAATACTTGTTTGTAACAAATGTAGAAAAATGTTAATCTTATAATATATACGCCGCGTGGACTATTAATTCTTGCTAGTAATTAAGTTACTAAAAATGTTAGTAATTAAAGTTATAAGTAATTAAGTTCTAACACTAACAGTAACTTAATTACTTATAACTTTAATTACTAACATTTTTAGTAACTTAATTACTAGCAAGAATTAATAGTCCACGCGGCGTATATATTATAAGATTAACATTTTTCTACATTTGTTACAAACAAGTATTTGTATCTTAGTATTTCAAAACAAAATATTACTGAAGATATATTGAAATTTATTCAGCCTAAACTTGCTGAATTTAAAGACGTTGATTTTAGACATGCTGTTCAACGATTTTTTTATTTGTATAAAAAAAAGTGGAAATCTACAAATTATACTGTTAAAAATTTTGAAAAGTTTGTAAATCAGCGTAATGAATATTTAATTGTCAGAAAAAACAACAACATACCAACTGCAAGCAGACGTGGTCGAAAACTAGTTGCATTTGATAATAGTTCTAATAAAATTAAAAAATGGCGTGTATCTTGCTTAATTGAATCCTATTCATTCAGTGAATTATTTTTTGCTGTTAATAAAAAATTTAGAGATGAATCTACTGTTAGTGCTGCCAAGAACGTCTTAAATATTTCAAATATAGATAAAGCAACTAAATATTCAGCAGATGAAGTACTGAAGAATCTGTGCAGTTCAGGAACCTGTGCTGAGGCACTTGATAATGAACGAAGTTAATAATGAAATAAGGCTGATAATGAAATAAGACTGGTTTTGATGGTGCTACTGGCCAAAGCATTTATAAACAAGTTTTATCAGAACTTGACATGAACAGAGATTTAAAGTGTGAAGAATCATTATTATTTACTTGTCTAGTCCCATTGGATTTGACATCTCCAGCTAAACAAAAGTTTCAGACTGATTTTATGAACAAAATGAGACTTGTTATTGATTTCTCTAAAAGTGGTGGCTCTGGAACAAGCAATAATAGCAATACCTCAAGGCGTGCTTTTACAGCATATGAACAAACAGCTGAAATTCTGGGTATTGATTAAAACCTTATGTTCAGATTTTACATTATCTGGGTAACAATCTCTTTAGGATATGAAACAGACAGCTTAAAATTCAAGGATTATTGTTTTGACACTGTTAGACTGTGTGTCCTTATCCATAGTATTACATGGCTCAATCATTTCACTAAGTATTGATACATGGACATGACATAATTAAAAACCTTACATTACCAATCAGGCTTATGTCAGAGGAAGCTCAAGAAGCTAGAAATAAAGATTATAAATCTTATCGCAAAAATTTCTGATCTTAATACTGATCTTATCAATAGACTTCTAGTTTCCAGTGATCCTGTGATTTCATCACTGCGTAAATCAACATCACACCAAACAAATCATAAAGTATTTCCTTCAGATGTTTTACAATTACTTAAACAATCTTTAAAAGATGTTATTGTTTTATAATTTTTTGATGTAATTTAAAATTGACAATATTTTCTTGCACTATTTTTTTGTTTTTATTATTGCAAAAACATTATTAACCTAAAAAATCAATTATTATTTAATATAGGTGGGTCAAAAAATCCGATACAATATTCAAATATCAACTTACATCTTTGTAACTAAGGAAAGTATCTGGTAACTAAGCAATATAAGTATCTATAGCAACTAAATTTTAAAAAATCATAACTTTTATAATAAGGGCTTAATTTAATTTTTTATAAGGTCCCGGACAAAATATCCGACCAAAAGTTATTTTGGTCGGACATTGTCCGATCAAATTTTTGAAATAAAATTTGAACCACAAATATTTACATATTTTCATATTTGTTTAGTTAAAAGGAACACAGGAAAAAAGATAGTTCTTTAAATACCGAGAGTAAAAAAGTACTGCAGATGGGTTTTCTAAGACTAGCTACTGGCGTATCTGAGTTTTACAGGACCCAATTATCCAATCGAAATATATGTTATGTTTTCCCAGTTTATTTTATTTTAGGCTAGAAAGTTGTAGTTTTTTTTCTTTATATTCAGAATTTTTATCATCGTAGATTTTTTTTAATTTAATTGAAATACTGCGCATTTTTTTAGATAGACTTGAAGTTTTATTGAGTTTTTTTTCTCGAAAACCTTGTTAGTTTACATTGAATTGCATTACCCGTTTATAAAAGTTAAGTAAATTTTTTTACTTAACAAAATATAATATGCTAAGTATCAATTTTGCGCATAAGCTCCACTTTTAGCGCCAAAAAGGTATTTATATGGCATTCATGTAACTATTTTTATCAATAATAAAAACGACAAGAAGACAAGTTTGTTATAGTAATTTAGTATAATAATGTCTTAAATATATTAAATATTAAGATAAACATATTATTTTTAAACTTTATATAAAAAATTTAAACTTAGCTTTTTTTATTTAAAGGCGGCTAAATCAAACGCAGTATGATATTTAAGGGCTATTATTTGATTTAAAAACGCGCTGCAAGTCATTAAAATTCGATCAATTCAACGTTGAATTGATCGCGTTGAATTGATCGCTTGCAACAAAGAAAATTTTATGAGTTTTACAGGTTATTATTTATCTACTTTTCAAAAAGGCACTCCTTCTTTGGCAGACAATTTTTATAAAGCTAGAACTTTTTAATCTTTTGAATATATATATATATATATATATATATATATATATATATATATATATATATATATATATATATATATATATATATATATATATATATATATATATATATATATATATATATATATATATATATATATATTACAATCTTTATAGAAATAAAAAGAAAAAAAATACAAATAAAGACATAGTTTAAAAAACGAATAATGAATAAAGAATCGGAAAACTCGATTAAGTCCAGGATACCACCGAGAAACCGCTCAAGCTAAAATAGAATGATTTGGATGATCATAACGTTAATGTTTAAATGTGTATCTTCTTAATGTTTTTTTTTAAAATATTCCATTGATGAGATCTCAGCCTCTAAAAAAACACATTTGTAAAATCTTTCATTATCAAATTTTTAAAACTGCCAACTTTTCTTTGCTTCGGTGTCCACGGCGTTTGCAGTATCAATCAAACATACTTTGACTTACTTTGTAAAACAAAATATTTTTTCAATGAGAGTTTATTCACTCTATTAAAAAAAAAAATAATTAGCTACACCAACTTTCTCCATTTTGATATAATTAAACTTTTTTTTAAGCTTTTTTTTCATTATTGTAATCTCATCTTTTGACTTCTTGAAAAAACTTTTACATAATTGAAATATCAGTAGAATTCAATAATGCGAAATTTCTTAGATTAGGCGCTTTTTCAAAGTTAATTTGCTCATTCACATTTTATAATATCCATTTTGCGATCGTTTTAAATAAGCAATAATTTTAAATTTAATAATATAATAATAAAACTGTTAATGAACAGTATAATAATATAATAATAAAACTGTTAATAATATAATAAAGTTGATAATATAATAATAAAACTAAATAATATAATAATAGAACAGCGCATTTTTTGGGAATGAATGGTTCCATTATCAACATATTTTATAAGTTTGTCTAATAGTTTACATTAAGTTTAATTTTGTCAATTTCAAATCAACGAATAAAATTTTATTTTAAAGTATTGAAAATACCGCCGGGCAAAATGTCCGGTGACTTTGTAAATTGATCGGACAATCTGAGGTTTTAGCCGGTCAATGTCCGATGTCCGACTGTTAAATTAAGCCCTGTTAGTGTGATGCCATATTGGTACTCATGCCAAATTTAGGGAATATAGCACTCATAAAATATCTGCAGATAACAAAAATAGGCTGTTGCTAAGCAAAATAAAGGTATCCATAGCAACGAAATAAAAAATATTACCTTCATTAAAAGCGCAACCATCATATTAGTACTCATGCTAATTTTAGTAAATATAGCTCTAATATTAAATTAGTGTACAGTAAAAGTGAATTCTGGCCCACTGTGCGCTGCCAAAATAAAATTTGAGGATCATATATTTTTGTTTTTACGCTTTGACGGCAAACATTGTTTTTTCGCAAAAAAAAAACGCTGATTTTCCGCTAATGT